CTATATGAGCACACAATATTGTCAAATATTGGTAATGTATTGCTAGCATTGTCTATGTTAACAATACATAGTAATAGCGATACATTCGCAATATTTGGTAATTTTGTATATGTGCAATAACACATGAAGTGGTTGATTCCTTGCAATATTCTAATGAATTTTATATATTTATATAGAATAGTTTTAATACAACATTTACTTTAATTCAATTATTTGCATTTCAATAATGAAAATTTTATTGATGTAAGAATTAATTTCAAATAGATATTGAAAGTTTATGTGAAATTTTCGCAATATCTTCAGGATATAGCCGATAAATGTGTTATAACGAGCATTTAGCGTCGCATATATAGTCGTTACACGTACCAGATAGGGTTAAATCCACGAGATACGATTCGGCGTGTTGAGTCCAAAAAAGACCTCTATTGCATTGTAGGTCGACCGACCGTGCGTCTCGACCGGGCACGTTGCTTTATCACGGCACGTGATGCTTGTGCCAAAGTTGCGGCAGTCACCACGCTCGCCGGTATTGTCTGTGCATAGCTCGCTGCTCGACACCTTCTTTCGATAGTGAGAAACGACACGGCGAAGTGGAAGACCGAATTGTCGTTCGCAGAAGTTCTCACGCTCGTTCTCGGTGCGCGTTTGCGGTGCGAATTGAGAGCAGGTCCGCATAGGACGAGCTCGGCTTGAAAGAGCCCCGTCAAAGCTACTATTTTCCCACTTTGTAGACGGAGCACGAACTCGAAGAGGTGAGCACGGGCTCGACGGTATTAGCGAAATGGCGCCAAAACAAGTGATGTCGTTCTTGTCTCCAATATGGCTCCTTTTCGCAGAACCTTTGCAAGAGATGACCATCTGAGATTTTACTTTGAATAAAAAAAAAGATTGTAGCAAATCAAATTAATTGCTTCGACATACAAGAATGTATTTGCACTAAACACCAAGACTGAAACTACTTATACATATATTACTCATATGCATATATTACAATACAATACATTACAATAATTTCATACTGATAGAGAGTGTAATGATAAACTGATGGGTATAGTACATAAGTACAATTATTTTTATACAGCAAAAAGTTAATTTATTCTTCACTGTGAGATTAATTCTGTGAAGTTACTACTTTTTTCCCATTACTTTTTTCCCATTCTTTTTCCCATTCCTTTTTTTTGTTTCTCTTCCTGTCTGTTTGCGTTAGAAAATCATTAAGAACAAGATGTTCTTCTGACTGCTATAATATTGATGTTATTACAAAATAATAATTACGAGATACGAACACAAATTAGAAACATGTTTAGTATTATAAATTATTACCTCTGCAAACACAGTTGCATTTATTCTGTAGATATTTTGGCAATTACAATTCTAAAATTATAAAAGTAAAATATGATAATGGAATGTATATGGGTTTAATTTATAAAAAATATATTTTTTGACAAAAAATATTTTTAGGAAATTAGACCAATTAATTCACAAAATAAAAGCATCAAAAAGTTTTTAAAGCGGAATATATGATTACTAATGAAATATTTTTACAATTTAGTGTGCTTATTAGAATTTACAAGCAACTTGTAAACAACTAAAAATACGCAATGCGCGCGCGCGCATATATATGCTCAAAATCGTACATCACAGATTAATTATTAGTCTACATATGTAAATTACGTCGATTAGTAACATGTAATTTATTTTTATTGCTTAGCCGATGCGTGAAAGAATTGTATTTCATATATTCTCTGTTTGATATTTTATTTTTTAATAAATATTTTTATTTTTTATTAATAATAAGACAGATAAATGATAGTAGTAAACGATATCGAAATTACAATGAGCAGAGACGTGGAAGAATAGATAAATGCAGACGCGCGCAAATAGAGGACAGAACCGCATTTATGCTATATTCTATTCTAATCATTAACATATATAAAAGGAAAATAAACTGGCATTATTGTACACTGATATTATTGTGACTTTGTGACTAAACTGTACGATATACATAGTTATAATGTCCAAATATTCTTTTATGGTTTGCGCTGAAATTTATTTGAGCACATATTTTTTTATTATCTAAAATTCTCATTTACTTTTATATATTTAATGAAAAAAACATTGAAAATTGTCATAAAACAAAATATCTAAATAAATAAAATTTCTTTTTAAAACACATAAATGTATATCAGTTTTTAGCATTTTTACATTATTTCTAAATTTTTTAATTTTTCGTTTAAAATGCAAATAATGCATAAACTTTTTTATAATTAATTCAATACGAATTGAATTTGAATTACAAATTAATTGATTAAAATGCAAGATTTAAAAAATGATTTTAATGATCAACGTTAGAATTTCCTTAAAATCTTAATATTGATATTCCTACATTAGAGACATGACAATACTTGATTACTCTCTATCGGTATAGTCACATGTCACACACTATAAGACCATATCGTATGAAGGAAATCCTGCTTAATTGCATTAATAACACCATCGTATCGCGACTATGTTCGGAAATTGAAACTTCTTAGTTCGTGGTGAGCCAAGTGCCTCCTTCAGCGCCCTTCACACCACTGCCGGAGTTTCTCTTGGGAAGAAGCAAGCGGGTGGTGGAGGCGTTAAAGGCGTTCTCTCTGGCACCTCTATAATTAGGCGCTCGAATTTACCGACCTCTCCAAAAGAAAACCCAGAATAAGTTTACGTAACATAAAGTCGCGAAACTA